CTAAAGTGTGGTTTTGCTCTGCCCCCAACTAGCACTCCAAACAGTGCTACTAGTGTTAAGCATGGGTAGGTTTGATATGTTTTTCTTGTATATTGTCTCCCAGATGTCCCTGGGGTTAAGTTAGCACTGATCCCAGTAGCTCCAGTTCCCTTTTCCCCTTCATACCAAATCCTGTCGACTCACACAGCTGGCTCCCATCAGTATATGTGTGTGTGTGTGTTTTATGCCTATAATAACCATTATGCCAATACATCAGTCCTGTCATAGGCAGCAACCCAATATCCAGGGCAAACGGCGTCACTGCATCATATATCTCAACCTCGTCTGGGGCTTGAGAATCCAGTGTCACACGATGGTATTTAAACTCTCTTATGGGAATGTGTTCCTGAATTATTCCAAAACCAGCCACACCAAAACCTGTTCCACTTGATCATTTTCTGTACAATGCTGAATGTAAGTGTTTTTTTCTGTCAATTGCTGGCTGCTCCAATCACTCAATGTTGCCTGCATGCTGTGGAGCTAATCTTAACCACAGCTGGGTGGGTGGGTGGGTGGATGCAGGGGTGTGAACTATGGAGTTGCAAAGGGTTAGGTGGGCGGCAAATGTGGTTAATATGCTTGTCTTGTGGATTGTGGATCATTTTTGCTGGAGCCAAATCCTCTCATTTAGGGGATTATGTTCCCGAGCTTGTGAAGAGTAGGAGGAGGTCAGAGAGAATGAAAACAGCGAAGAGGAGGAGTGGGCAAGAGCAATGGACAAAGTGTTGGAACAAGTTTTTTTTTTTTGGGAGGGGGGGGATGCGGGTATAGGTGCAGCAGAGGGATTGACAGACACAGCAGCAGCATGCAGTTGGGGGTTAGCGGATGGCTTGAATGGAGTTGGGGGAAGGTGACGCTCAAAGAGACAGAAGAGGAAAGCAGCTTGTGTGCGGAGAGATCTGAGGGTTGAGGGGGGGGTGTACTTGTGTGGGTAGGAGGTGTGGTGGTGCAGGGAGGGTACTGTTTAAAGGAGCGGTGAGTTAACTGTGATGGGGCGGCTCCTCGCTTTTCAAGGGGTATCGACAGATCTCCTCCAGTCCTGCTCCTACTTCAGCCCAACGACCAATCCCACCATGCCTCTCCACACATTAAAGAAAAAAACAATCCTCCCCTACTCCACTTGCACATATGAGTTGATGAACTCTGAGATGTTCAGAGTACTCAGGGGCTCTCTGTCTTAGTGAACAGAAGAGGTCAAACCATGAGACTGAGTTGGTGCTTCAGAGTGGGTCATCTCCTTGAAAAACAAAAGTGCCGCCGGGCTCTGTAAACACCCACACATGTTATTCTGTATTCAGAATTCCAACCCGAGCTAGGTGAATGGGTGATGAGGCTAAAGAGGACACTGTTTAACAAATTCAAAGGTCTCTTTTGCCAAAGTAAACTTTAAATCCAAAAGGAAAAAAGAATGCAAAACTGCAAAAGCTTAAATCCAAGAGTATTTCACCAATTTTTATAAAAAAAGATCTTGTTTCTCTGAATATAAGCAACATTCACCTGACAAGTCCAGACAAACCACATAAACATCTTATATTTCATGATGTTACGAGCTATTTCTTTGCTTTAAATATTTAAGTTCCTTAAAATAAGATGTAAGGTGTTTTTCAAGAAACCTAACAAGTCAGCTACTTTTACTCATTACAAGCTGTCTCATTTTTTTGCTTGTAATATCTCGAAATGAGAAGTTTATCTGGACTAGTCATGTGAATGTGGCTCATATTAGGTGATGTGAGATATTTTTGACTTGATAGAGAGTTTTTCTCAAGGTTTTTCCAGAACACTCAGAAGTACATGAACGTTGTTTGGGTTGATCAAAAGTACGAGTTACGTAGAGAATTTAAATAATACTCAAGAGAAACTGTTGTGAATCTAGATTGGCTCTGAATGCCTCACCTGTGTCAGGATATTCTCCCCACTGTTTTCTCTGTCTTTGAAGCCCGACACAAACAGAATTCAATATATGTCAAATACAACGTGAAGGTCCTCAGTCCTCCAGGTCAAAGCTGAAGATGTTCTTGCTAAAGAACTGAAGATGCCTTTAGGATACGATCGCTACTTTTAATTAAAAACAGAAAATATAACAAATGTCGACATCATTATAAAACTTTCCCCCTCTATTTAGATAATGATTTCTATATTTATGTATGCGTCTTTATTGGTTTATTTGACTTTATATTCTGTATTACTGTCTTTCATTTGTACTTTTCTTTATGTACTGTATGCTATTTATTTATTTAATCTGTCTTTCACTTGATTTACATTGTGATATTGTTTTTTTTTTTTTACCTGACTATATACGCGCATTACTCCTCTTGAATACAGCTAAACAAAAAAAAACAAGTGGATGCGGTCGGTTCGGGAAATGCAAATGACGCCACTTCCATACAGAATGAATCAGACGAAGTAGGAACAAATATCTGCCTATCTTCTTGATGGGACGTACAGTACAAGATAAAGTTGCAGCTTAACACTTGGACTTCAAATCCATGAAAAACACTCTGCAGTTGTCAAAATTACAAAGAGTATTACCTGTTGAAGTGGGGAGTCACATTCTCAAGAGGGCCATTCACTCCCAATTCAGCTCAAACAATCACTCCCGTCTGGAATCAGTTATGGCAGATTGTGTTACATGATGCCTGGAATAATGAAGTAGTACATCAACACTGCCAATCCCCACACACAGGAAAGAAAGGGACCTGTCTGTTCCAGCCCTCTAATCCGGTCTGTTTGAGGAAGCAGAGACTAGTGGCGTGACACTTGTCCTCCATAGTCTCCAGTGTTTCTCCCTGGAACCTCCAAGCGCCAGCTCGCATTAGCATAACCGTGAGGCCCGATCCACTCCACTACAGGATTAGTTCAGCTCTCCTCCCCACTGTCTGATGGCTCTTTATCCAGATGGATACAGCCTGTTAGAGGTCTTAACCACACCATTGCCACTAAAGTCATTATCATTCACCACGAGGAGGAATCAGCTCACTGAGGGTCTGCTGTTTGGAGAGAGATTGACGTCTCATTTGGAATGGTTGGAAAGAAAAGACAGGAACCTCCCCTTTGGACTATGATGGAGTAGCACAGAAATGCCCCCAATCAATCTGTCTTTGTTCTGAGGCGACTATGTAAGATAGAATCTGGTCTTGTCATTTTTGTTTTTTGGGAATATGACCATGATAAAACCATCTGCAATAAGAGAAATGTGCACATGGCCCGAGTACATTTCTATTAAACGTTTCTGCACAGCATCTTATTCCCGGAATGACAATGTTCAGTCCCTCAATTCTTTTAAATCCCTTCTTAAAACGTACTTTTACAGACTTGCTTTTATGTGATGTCTTCTTCTTAATGTCTTTTCTGACTGGTTTTACTATTTTTATCTTCTTTTACTTCTTACATCCTTTTATTTATGCTCTTTATTTATGCTCTTATCTCGTATTTATGCTCTTATCTTAACTCCTCTTATGTTTTAACTTGGTAATTTCTTATCTTACGTACTTTGTCTATTTATGTTTTATATTTATATTTACTTTTTATTTGTATTAATATTATAGTTTTTGTTCTTTTTGATCCTTTAACCACTTGTTTCTATTTCTTTTTCTGCTCTTACCTTCTTATTGCTGTTATCTTTTTATTTGTTTTTATCTCTTTTAGTTTCTGACATCTTTTTAAATATTTGGTTCCTCTTGGTCTCAGCTCGTGTTGTTGGGTTCTTGTGTTGCCTGGGTTCTTATGATGGTTCTTGTGATGGTTCTTGTGATGGTCGGGTTATATATGTCTGTTGGGTATCGTGCACTTTGGGTTCTTTTCTGTTGAATTGTATTTCATTATTTTTAGTATTTTGCATTTGTTATATTCTTGCTGTTGTTTATGTTCTTCTGTGTTTGCTTTAGTTTGCTTTGTTCTTGTTTGTCAAATCACTTTGTAAACCTGTGTTTATAGAAATAATAGACATAAAAGTTATTATTACGAGAAGTTAATTCTTTGGTTTTACACTGAGTTTTGTCACACTGTTATCCTATAAGACAGTTTTAGCTGGAAAATGAATGTGAGCTTGACATTCATTCTAGGAACTCCTGTGATCACCCAGGGCCATGTGATTGTCGAAACTTTAAGTGGCGCCATCACCAGACAGATGGGCCTGACAAGATGTTTTTGTCTATTGTCCGGATAGTTCCTCACAGAGCACGAGCTACATCTCTGTGATGTCATCTCGAGCACAAATCAATCCGTCTCAGGTTAACTCGAATTCTGATGTTTGACGTCATGGAGGAGACCACTTACATAGCATGCAGTTGTTGTTGTTGTAGTGTTTTTGCAGTCTTACTGTCTGGATTCTAATTTTTAATAATAACAATTTAAATCATGACACCATTATTCATTTTGGACATACGTCATTATAAAATAATTGCATTTTGTTATTATCAGTCATTGTCAGGAAAAAAAACAGAAAACAGAAAAGGTTATCCAGCAGTTAAGAGTACTCTTTGAGTTTTTGTACAAGCTTTTCTGTGTTCCGTTTGTTCCTCATTTGTACGATAAAGTTGCAAAATCTAATAAAAACACTGTACACTGTGTTTAGGGTCCAATCTTTAGTGAAATCTATAATGATTTCTACGAATGAGTTTCCCTAGAAGTTCTGCTCACATGTCCCACCGTGTGCTTCTGTTTCATGCTCTTTCTAGCCTCTTGCCTATGCCCTAACCTTTTCCTCCTCCTCCTCTTCCACCTTTTGCTTTCACTGTTTTCTCTCATGCTTTCTATGCTCTCTCTCACCCTCTCTCTCCCACCTACACCACTCTCCCTCCTCTCTCTCTCTCTCTCTCTCCCTCTCTCTCTCTTTCACTCTGACTCTGCTGTCTGCCTCAGCTGTTCTCAGTTGCACTAGTGTGCCTTGTGCTGTGGGGACAGGGCAGAGCTACTGCGCTGAGTGGGGCTGAACTAGTCCGGAGCACTGTTAAGTGGAGAGAGAGAGAGAGAGAGAGCGGTTGATAGAAAACAGAGTGAGAGGGAGAGACAGAGTCAGTGCAGATTGTGCTTACCAAGCAGACTGGATTAACAGCTGAAACAAACTGGACCTGTTTTTTCTCTTTTTAGCCTAAGGTAGAGACTCAGCGATAAGTAGGATGGTTGTTTAGACAGAGCCACATGCTGGTTGGGCACCAGGACTGAAAAAGCTATGGCAGTCATATCTAGATCCTCTCACTCATCCTATAGCATTTAGTATGGTGAGAATCTCTTACATGGCTTACTTCGGTTAAGTTTACCCTGGACTTGCTGGTGTGGGAGGCTGTTTTTGCTTTGACATTGACCCATAACCCCAAACTCTGCTTTTGCAGGATCTGTCTCCCTTGGAGTTTGAATCTTAATTTTTTGGCCATTGACCCCTGGAGCAGGAAAGGGTTTCTGATTTTTTTGGCAGGGGACCAGACCTGCTGAGAACCAGTCTGGACTGAACCCACAAGCTTTTTTATTTTTTAAATCAGTGGACAGCAGAACAATTTTTCTTCTACGAGGACTTCTTCGTCTGTTACACCAAGATCCAAGACTTACCGCACTGGAGGCGGACCTTTAAGGGACCTCTCTGGCCCGTATTGCCCCAGGACCATGGGCTCTCTCTGGGGCAGCGTTATGCTGCTGATGTGTGGGGTGGTTCTCCTCAGGGTGGAGGGTTACGAAGAAACCAAAAACAATGTCCCCAGACTAAAACTCTCCTACAAAGGTAAGTTATCGCCCCTATATCAACAACATCTTTATGATTCAGCTGTTTAGAATTTGGTGGAGGAAACGGAGACTAGAAACACATCGCCTTCTGAAGTTGTAGTAACTGCTGTGTCACATCCTGTACGTCCTTGTGAGGTAGAGAGTGCTTTCAACTCTTATCGCCTGGAAAATATGCAAAATTAACAAATGGAAAAAGTGAGTTTTAATACGATGAATTTTCACAATAACTATTGAGCTTAAGACTTATGTAATGCATGCTGTGGCTGCATGGCAAATCTGTTTTTTAAGATTTCAGGTAGACAGTTAAGATGCATGATTAAACATGAAGCTACTCAATTTGGTACTTATATCATGTTTATGCTCCCAAAGAAAGTGCTTAATTAAAAAAAAAAAAAAAAAAAAAGATTTATAGTGTTGTAAAAATAACTAACATTATATTAAATTCAGTTTCAACCATGAGTGAAAATGTGTTCTCATGAAAACTTTGTGGCAGAGTTTTAAAACATTGCTTAATCAGGTCAGTGAAACGATCAGGTGGGGATGATACAAAGGATTTATAATAAACGAATAGATCACTCTATGAACTCTTTGACCAAAATCAGGGAAGTTAAGTGAAATTTTAGGAAAGAAACTTGACATGATCAAATCAGAGGAAGTGCTCCTGCTTGATGAATTTCTGTCAAACAACTGGAATCTGCCTCTAATGCTCTCTCTCTCTCTCTCTCTGTTCCTGTCTTTCGCTGCCCGTTGTGATCAACTGCTTTTATTCACATTTGCAATGAAATGTGGTGCCAGACATTGACTCCTCTTGCCAGTTGAGCACCGTTTATCCCCCCTCTCCTCTCCATCCCTTTCTTTTCTTTTCTTTTTTTTCCCCCTGCATGTCATTTTTCCGCTCCGTTCTTTTCCTGCATGGTAATTACACTGAGGATGAATGGTGCAGGTCTGTTTCAGCAGATGGCTTTTCCCAAAGAGAAATGCTCCTCGCTCAGCACTGGGAGATCCATAATTATACACACACACACACACACACACACACACACGCACACACAAAAGCATGCACATACACATACATGGCCATCTGTAGATAGCTAATGATACCTGTGAGCTTATCAGTCATTTAAAACAACATGCTGTCAGTTTGGTGAAACACGCCCATGCAGTGATATCTCTATTAGATGTCGGGCCTCCAGGTAGCATCGCGGACAGCTGGGCTTTTTCCGGCTGCCACCTTCCAATTCAATATTTCTTCCTCATTCACATTTAAGCGTCTAGTTACAATATTTGGCACCATCCCTCTGCTTAGAATTTCTAGCCGGAGGATAGAGAGCAGGTATCATTTTCATGCCCCGCAATGTGGTGGAAATATTACTCACATAATACAGTTGAATTTCATCAAAACTCTAAGTCCCATTAGGCAAGTGACATGGGATTATTGCACTATGAATCATTTATACCATCATATAAATTATGTATTACCCGCAAGGCCAACTCAGATTTACTCCTGGAGAGGAAATCATGATGATTCACTGTGGTGAATTACAGAACTAGGAGCTAGACAGCCTGGTAAAAGTTGTCCTGTTCTGAGAGAGAGGAAGGTCTAGCCCTGTGACACATGGGGATTCTGACACCTACAGGTCACTGGGAATACTGGGGGAAAAATCTGTGCCCTGTGTCGGTGAAGGGGACACACACTTTAACATGTGTTTGGCTTAAATAAAGACCTAGCTAACATGAACACAGCAGGGGAAGTGTTTATCTGGAAAGTGTGAACCTTAGCGGCGGGCCTGCTCCCCCCGCAGTATGAGCCCCGATACATACTGGATTTCCCCCGACCGACCAACTGACGCACCCACACACATCCAGCGCTCACAGCCACATCTACCACCCTCCGTCCTGAACCCCAGGAGATTCCAACTCTCTCTTTGAAAGCGAGGGTGGAGGGGCAAGAGGGCATTGGAGTAGGGGGAAAGATAACAATGGTACCCCATGGTTACCTAAACATGAGCTAAGGTCCAACTGTATCAACAACCACAGACTGGGTGATGATGAGGCAGTGGGAGGTGATGGTTTTACGGGGAACTATAAATGGAGATATTTCAACATGTGTTACACTTTGACACGGACTGATACGTGATCGATTGGCAAACCCCCGGGGTAAAAAGATCCTCTGGGGAGTGAACAGAGATTCTTATGGTTTGTAAGTTTACGGGAAAGAAGAAGAAGTAGAGCACATGTTGTTTACTGTCCAGAGAAGGGAAGAGTGGGTATTTCTAGTTTTATAGGATTTGAGTGTACTGCCAAAATTCTCCTTCACTTCAACCTGTCCACCCTTTCCCGTGACATAACCAACGACCTGCAGAGAAGTTCATAGACATAGCCACACACACACACACACACACACACACACATGCAAGTGAGTACAATCACACCAGCACAACTCAAATACCAAGACAAAAAAAAAAAAAAAGCTGCTTCCACATGTGATATTTCTGTTCACATGTTTGCGTAGAGCTACAGTGGGTGACTGTTTTTTTTTGTGTTGTTCTTGAGATCGACTTTTAACTAGAGCTGGGCTAACGGGGAAGTTCTCTTTAAAGCTATAAATCCATAAGCATGTTAAGAATCTTCGGATCGGGGGGTTGGGTTTCTCCTGGTGTGTACAGTATAAACTCTGAATGGCCCCTGAATGTGTCATGGAAGGTATACGCCCCCCCCCCCCCCCCACCCCAATCTTTGGAGGGTTTCTCGCATTCGGAATAGTTGTCGTTCTTCACATGTTCAGGACGTGGGCGGCTGTGTTCACTTTTTTGTTCGACTTCGTTTCCCTGAGAGCTCTAGGATTCCTCTTTGTGATCTGTACTTAAAGCAAAGTAAAATATTCTGAGGGTGGGGGAGGTTCGGTTTTATACAGTCACACAATAAATTGACTGATAATCAGTAATAATGCCATGTAGTGATGGATAATATGATTGAATGAATACATTAATACATTCAAATTCACGTCAAAGTTAAATACAGGGAACTTTTTACCACTGTGACAAAATATACGTTGGTTTGAACTACAGTTTGTATTTATCATGAATTAATTTGAAGGTTGAGTTACAAATCTTGACTGCAATACTTGTCATTGCAAATATGACTAAACATGGCACTATTAGATTTATTGTCCAACTCTTAACAACTAACTGTGTGAAATTCGACGCAAACTTCATTACCTGAAAAATGTAAAAAGCCCTGAGCACAATATTGTGTTCAAAACTCAAGCAATCATCTTCAACCCTAAAAGCCAACCCGTTAATATGCGAGGGCGGCTGAGGTGCAGTTTTCATTCCTGCTTGACACTAAACAAATTACAGCTCTGATGATGCTTTGTGGTGTTTTTTTTCTCCCTCAGGCATGAATGAATCAGTCACTGTAAGCACTTCAAGTGTTTTGTCAATGTGCAATCATTCACTTCAGCCTTGAGAATGAGAAACGTAAAGGGAAGACACTGAACCGGGGCCAAGACATCAGCGCTTCCCATGTACAGTGTGGCCCCCACGTGGGTTATTGTTAGGACGTGTTTCTGGGTGTTTCTTAGGGAAGCACTTAGATAACACTCGCTGTGCCCTCCAGTCGAGAACAAGAAAGAGAGAAAGCTGTGGAGAATGTAGGCTAAAAGAGTTTATTTTTATCGGTCTCGCATGGGACTGTTGATTCTTTGCATCCATTCCATCTGCCCCCTTATCTCTCTCTCTTCCTCTTTCTCTCTCACTTTCAATTTTCCCTCTCTCTTTCTCTCTCTTCGTCCTTTTCTCATTAATTCTTTGTTACAGAATATAGAAGAGTGAATGAGAAATTGATTGAATTAGAAAAAGGGCCGATTGTTGGTATAAATATATATATTTTTTAATTTACGGTGAGGATAAATAGACTAGACAGTGAAAGCTTTCAAAAAGAACTGGTAAAAAAGTGACATTTGCAGGAAAGGCCATACCTCAACAGTTAAAAAGGAAACTTTGAAAAAATACAGCAGGGCAGCAGCTGACACCTGTTCAAGGACACATTTGCCCAAACTTGTCTTTACGTCTGCCTGTTTATTTGTCTGCTTGAAAGAGTCTCGTTATAGAGCCAAACATGTTTTCTACAGACATCTTTGGGGAAAAAAAAAAAAAGAAGAAGAATTTGACCTGCGTCCTGGCCTATCAAAACCACGTTACAGAAAATGTGACTTTTTGTTATGCAGTTACAATGTTTAACAGGTGCAAAACAAACATTGCCCCGTTGGATATTTAACCAAACGGGGGACACTAGTTCAGACATGTATAGACACAAACTACCTCTGGCATGGCTGGGAAACCTCCCTGTTTCTTTCCAATAACATACAAAGCAGCATCCTCCATAAACACACACACGGCTCCACACACAATACCCATAGAGGATGCGTCTCTGGATGATTAGCTTTTAATAACTTTGCTGTTTTCACTGTTGAATGGTCTGTTACCATGGACACGACTCCCATGGACAGTTTCCACAAAGCAGAGTCGTCTCTCTCTGTGTGTATGATGTGTGTATGATGTGTGTATGATGTGTGTATGATGTGTGTATGATGGGTGGATGATGTGTGTATGATGTGTGTATGATGTGTGTATGATGTGTGTATGATGTGTGTATGATGTGTGTATGATGTGTGTATGATGGGTGGATGATGTGTGTATGATGGGTGGATGATGGGTGGATGATGGGTGGATGATGGCTGGATGTGGTGACGTGGTTTGAGCGGCGGTGACGTTAAGTGATCACGTCTGCATGGTTTCCCTGCAGATTCTTGACATCATGTTGTGCATAAAATATTATATAGCCTACATTTATATGTTTTATACAATAACTAATTCCTTTTAAATTAAGATTTATTGAAGAATTCACACAAATACACTGATTTACGTTTTGGTTTTACATGTGACTCGTGTAACTTAACTGTAACTCCTAACTGAATGTCAGCAGGGATTAAAGAGTTTCCTGAAATATGCAAAGCCACAACTATTTAGGTATATGCTGCAAAAGTTGAAAATGATTACATATATTTAGAGGATTACTTCTCTTTGTCTTTCCAACAAACACATCCGAGGTGCAGTTGAACAAAGGTCAGAGGAAGCAGGCGGGTGTTATTGTGCCGTCAGTGAAGGGCTTACAGTGTTTCCACTTATGATTGATCACCAAAGTTATGGAGGAACATAAATCTGGGACACAGCTTTTTGACTGGGCTAAGCAATACTTTTTACAACAACTTTTGTGCCCGTGCTTGTCCTTGTTACTTCTTTGTTTTGTAAAGACTCGGGCTGTGTTGTGGTTGGCAGCCCAATAATGTTTTTATAAAATCAAATTATGGTTATTTGATTTGTCTTGTGTTGCCTTCTTCAAATGCATTGAGGCACTTTTCTTAACTATAATTGTAATATTGTAAGTGTCAGGTAATTATGGATAAATCTGTTTTGGCTTGCATTAGCATAGTCTTGGCCAGGAACCCCTTTCTCTATGAAGCTTAAAGGCTTTTTTCACACTTATATATAATATAAATCAAGTATATCCTCTGAAAATAACTGTGAGTCATGACTGTCTACAATGGGTGTAACACCCGAGTCCCACTGTCTGTGATGTTTTCAGAGTTTTCAGAGTCCTATCTTCACTTTGTTTACATCGCCTGGACGGCCAGCTGACTCCTCCCCTCATGTATAAAAGTTGTTTAATTGAGGGACTAGAGAAAAGAAGAATAACATACTGTACTCGCTGCTTAACTGTGTTTCTAGATCACGCTCATTTCAGGTAAATTTACATGCAGTGTGAAGATACCAGCATAATAAAGATCGCTAGCATTAGCATGCTAACACAACAATGCAGCGCGAGTTGTTTTGGTTTCATGCTGGTGCTCAAGGGCGACATCTGCTGGATCAAAAAATCACATATACAGTAAAGCCATTAAATACAGGAACTTTACAAGTTAAATAATTATTTTAAAATCTTCATGGACTATGTTTAGATTTTAACTTCCTTTAAACCTTTTGCATATAGAGAGGCCATGAAGGCTGCGTCACAAAGCACATCATTACTTTTTATTTTGGAGACTTTGTCTTAATCTCTCTCCAACTGTGCTGAAGCACAGGAAACCAATTAAACCATTTAAACAGCAACAACAACTAAGACAAGAGTTATTAAGGGTTATACTTGTTTCATAATACCATCCTGTGTGTACAGTAATGCTTCTCTATATGAGCCAGGGTTTCACATGTGTGTGCATGAGTTTATGTAGAACAAAAGATTATCAGAACCAGAGGAAGTTATATTCGTAAGCCTGTGTGCCTGAGCCTCCTCCAGTTAAACAGGATGAAGCCACAATATCCCAAAGACTGGTTCCGACATATGAGAGTCTGGGATCGGCTGGCTGAGCAGCAGTATTGATGTCACACCAATACCACTAATAAAAACACACTCAATAAATTAACAATCTTATGGCAAAATACATTCAGGTGGGTATAGTCCAAAGCAGAACAGATTCTTGTGTTGATTAATATCAGACACTCACAGTTATGGAAATTATGATTGTGTTGGTGTTGGTCACATTTTTTCAATCCATTTCTGTTGTACCCTTCTAATCTGGTACACACAGCGCACACAGGAGCCACTTTCATCAACAGAACTGTCACTCATAGAAGTGTATACATTTTTATTGCATCAAATAATGAAAAACAAACTTTCTGAGAAAAGATGACAAGAACAAAAACTAGCTTGATAATAACTGACTGTCATGATGAAACCGGGTTTGAGAAAAGACAGTCTGACGTGTATTTATAGTTTGAACCCAAGTCCTATCTGTTAACACAGATGAGGCAGGATTAAATACCTATACAGGAGCTCTAAATATTTTGGCTTAACTCCGAGGCAGCTGTTGCCCTGTCCATCTTAGTATAGATTCTACACTAGAGCCAGACGTTGACATTTCTTTTCCGTTCTCTCCCACAGCTGTTTGGTCATCCATTGTCCATTCAAATTCCAGGAAATGTAGTTTTTTATGGGTAATTTATCTTCCTTTTTTTCTGCCGCATTATAATGGCTAAAGTTACAAGTGAAGCTCGATGATGAGACATTACACACATAAACCCAACTATCCAAAACCTTGTATTTGAAAAAAACTAGACTAAATTATAATAAAAATTTACTTTATATTCAGTTTTTGGGAATAAAAAAATAATGATTCAAATATATATGAATTATGTATTTCCATGAGTATATTTCAATGCTATTCTGATGTTTTTAAATTACTTTAATTATAGATCAAAATTAGAATGCAAACATTCAAATGTCCAACCTTTAAAGATTAAAGCTGCCAGACATCTGTTGGGCAACTGTCTTGACTCCTTTTGTAATTCCTCCAGTAATTCCGATATATATTTGAGATTGTATGGATGCATTAAATTAGTCATTGTGATGCCCTCTATTCTTTATTTTTCCTTTCCTTTCCAGCAGCACTGCTGCAGCATGTGTCCTTTCCATTCTCTCGGGCTCTGACACACTTCAGAGAGGGGGCATTCTCCTTGCTAAAACATTCATGAACATATTTGTTATTTACTCCCCAAGAAAAGGGTAAAGAGTAGGAAAGAGAGAGAGAGAGAGAGAGAGAGTAAAGATACCAGTTGTCTTCTGTTCCCTCCATCCTTTTATGTGAGTGGGAAATGAGAGGGGTCATCGTGTGGTTAGAATGAAAATGTGAATATATGTAAGAAACAAAAGGTGTTAAAATGCCACATCAATAATTAAACTTTAAAGTACAGTAATGAAATGTATAAGGTCTGTTGGTGACAAGATTGGCGTTCTGCTTTGAAAGCAACTATTGCTTCTATGTAGGACTTGGCAGATCACTGCATTACACTGCAAAAACTGAGCCGTAGCCCATATTAACAGATCCTAATAGCTAGTGTGGTTTAGCCTAATCCTGCAGTTGGGACTATTAAATATTAGTAGAATCAAATGACACGGCGTACACCACCCAGTTTTCCACTGAAACTGCACCAAGTTCTGCTTGGCTGCTCTATTCAAGGTCACTTCCACCATGCAGACAGTTTGGTCACTGGCTCCAAGTGCTGGCATTACCCGCCTAGACCAGTTTGGCTCGACTGTGGTGCTTTACTATGTGCCAGTTGCCTTACTTGGCCAGGATGTTGCATGGGATATAAAAAGGGAGGGAATGCTACATCATTTTCAACACTTAAAAAACAACATTGAAACGCTGTGGCGGAGGTTCAAAGAACATTATCCAATAATAGAGCTAAAAACAACCTTATTTGTCATTTTTAATGCAATTTTAGATGTAAACCTGTTGTCACAGATATTGTAAGGTGGATAGGAATACTAAAAGCTTTCTATAACTAGGGGCTATATCTCCTAAAAGCACCTGGACATTTTGATTTAATCTTGCAAATAAATATTGCCCTGATGGCTTTTTTCCCACTTGCCCCACATGTTTTAAACCATGTGAATATCACATTCTGCTGATGATCACTTTTAATTTCCATTTTCTCTGCAGAAATGCTGGAGTCTAACAACCTTGTGACATTCGAAGGTCTGGCCAACAGTTCGTCTTACCACACCTTCCTGTTGGACGAGGAGAAAGGACGACTGGTGGTGGGAGCCAAGGACCACATCTTCTCCTTCAACCTCATCAACATCAGCAGAGACTATTCACAGGTAAGTCCAGTGTCTGAGTTTCAGTCTGTCTTGTCTGTCTGGTGGTTTTAATCATGTATCAGGACTGTAAGTCTGTTTGCGTTTCTGGCCGACTTAATTTCCATCTCGAGTGTACCTCTCAAATCCAGAGTGCCAGTCAGAGACATCAGGTATCTCGGGACTTCCTTTTTTTCTGTTTCTGCCGAAAAGTGCCTCGTGAATATTTCAGAGCCGGGCTGCCGCACAAGATCACACGCTGTGCCAGGCATGTTAGCTGCTCTCCGCACACCTGGATGAATAATGGAGTAAACTGAAACAAAGTGGATAACAAATCGCATTTGTGACCCCTTCAACTCGCATATATACACACATGCATGCGCACAATCTGTGGTTTTTGTTGACTCAAAGAGTGATGTATTGATTTGAGAAGGGGATAATTCTCTTCTAACATCTAAAGGAACTGTGTTTGTGTTCTAGATCCCTTGGCCGGCTTCTCCCACCAGAAGAGACGAATGCAAGTGGGCAGGAAAAGATCTCTCGGTAAGAGCTAAAAAAACATATTTCTTTTAAGTGGGTGTCAGCATTTTGCTTCTGCTCTCCCACAGTTGTGTAAAAAATATCTTTATTCTACTCTACTAAAGACGTGCGACTGTGCAGATCTTGAAGCAACGTTCGCTTATATTTGCACTGGGATTACATCGAATATGTGCTCTTAAAAGCATTTTCAAACATCGGCATTTTATTTTTTTAATCTTCCAGTTTGTTTATACCAGTGTGTTGACTTTACTAATCTGTCATGTGGACAATGACCATAGGTCTGACTATAATCGCAAAGCCATGATTGAAACCATCATTTGACCTTAATCACTTATCAAGCTTCTGGGCGCTCCATTTGACAGAGTGAGCTCTGGCAGATGCTTTCATATATTCGGGGATCATATGCACAAGTGTTTATTTTATATAATGTCCCATGTTTTCCTTCATTTCTTTTGGTCTGTACATGCATTTGTTTTTGAGTTTTTTCTTTTAACCTCTCAAGCACATCACAACTTGACGTGGCCTAGACTTGACTTTCCTTGTGAAATGAAATACTTAAATACATTACACTGGTCAGACGGACCCGTGTAAAGTATTTAAGATATCTGCTGACCACCTTAAATATAGACAAAGTTGTGTAACACAGTTAGATGCAGTGTGTGTGGCTGGTTTGCCGATTAGATATTCAAACTCAATCAGTCTAATTAATAAAGTTTAAGTTTTAAAAGACTCTAGAAACAATGAAGCACATTATTCCCACTTTGCAAATCCAACAACATGCTCACATGGGTATAACATTTCCGCAAAGTGTGTTTATCTGCTTAGCCTTTTAAATGTGTTATTTAATTTGACCCCTCAGTTTAAGGAAAACCTGGAACAAAAGATGACTTGTCCTGGTGCTTATAGGTTCAGAGCCTTTTTCAGACCCCCTTTACCTAACTCAACCTTCATATGACGAGCCAAGCATCACATCTCCCCCTGTATGTGGCTGAGTGCAGTTTTAAAGCAGTTTGTGTGGTATGGGGAAACCTTATGTAAACACACTGAGAATCTGCCTCTGGTCCTGCAGAGCTGTGTTATGAATTCTAACTTCCAAAACGGCCCTGGGCAATATGAAATGATGGCTTTTTGTGGCTTAGTTCTCTGCCTAGACATTAGCCAGAATAGGGCACGCTCTCTTGCCCCTTCCACACTTCTCCACAGCTTATTTTAGGCACCATGAACTCCTTTGTGTGTTTTCTGTAAACATCGTGGCGCAGATGAATACGGCGCCCCGAGGGGTGGTCTTTCTTTTATGGAGTGAGAGTGAGAATTAAAGGGAGGCAGCGAGAGGCTGCTGATGCCCCCCCCCCCCCCCCCCCCCCGATGTAATGTAAAGCAAACACTTCTGGAGATGAAGCAAAGAAGAAAGAAACAAAAGGTAGATGGTTGTGAAAGGTGCGACTGTGCACACACAAGGGGGGAAAATAAAAGATGCATCTATTGAATAGATTTACAAAACTGTGATATTGGCATTCTATTAATAATTCAGTGTGTTTGAGTTGTCTCTAGTATCTTGCTTGTCAGAAAACATCAGTGAAACTGGACCATGCAGATACTGTTAGTAGATAGTTTGAGCTTGCAACAATGTCGTTCATTACTCAGATAAACCCGCTCACATATAGGCCATATAAATCCAAAGAAAAACCAGAAACCTAAATGAAAACAAAGGCTTACACCAACAGAGGCGGCTGATGACCCAGTAAAGCCAGATGAACTTAGCCATGCATCATTTTCTGGTGCCATTCTTCCCTTTCTTTTTTTTTCATATGTGATGACACATTCAGTTTTATTTGAGGTCACGTCTGCTCAGACACGTGCTGCATGAGCACATGGAAATATATATTGCCATATGGCTGGAGAGCACTGCATACAAAACAGAGCGACTGCCACACACACACACACACACACCCCCACACACACACACAAGGAAATGATTTGATAAACAACATCTGCATCTACATAAGTAATGGGGTAACCCTAACCCTAAGTATTAAAGCCCCAAGTTAAGAAAAGTATACGCTCCTCTATCCCAGCATTAAGAGAAAAAAGTACAAACTATAAAGGAAGTAAATTTCAAGAAATGGCAACTTAACATATCATTACTTTAATCAATAAAGGGTTATAATGGTTGACTTTATTAACTGCTTCTATTGTTACTCTGCATCTCATTACCTTCTGCATGAATATCCCAATTATTGCACGGGGAATTAAACAGCTGATGTGAACCCAGCAGTGGTAGATGTCAGTGGGTTCAAAGAGGAAAAAGAAGCAGAAGGTCCAGGGCTTGGTTACTTTATGCAAATAAAGTGGAAAAAAAAAAAAAGCACTGAGTCATGGATGAGAACGCTTGGTCTGGTTATAATATTATTTTCAGAAGCATTACTCAGCACATTGCTAGGCTATTCCCCGGGGAATTACAGCAGATTACAGAAGGCTTTGCATTTGGGGATCATCGCAGATGTCTCTATTTAAGTCTTGGATTCTCCTCTGCTGAGAAGTGGGGCTGTTAGTCGGGTTATCCAGCAGTTTCACCACTTTTTTCACGGAGTAAAACAACCATATGCAGTAGCAGCAATGACTATTACTAAGGATGATGATAGCACAAACAGAAAACCTGTAAAAATGAAAGAAGTGTCAGAACGTTGATTATTCTAAATATGTCGTCTGTCTTATTTCCATCAGAGGGAGTGCTCTAATTTCATCAAGGTGCTGCAGCCGTTCAACCAGACCCATATCTATGTGTGTGGAACAGGTGCCTTCCACCCGGTGTGTTCCTACCTGGAAGTGGGCAAGAAATCAGAGGTACAAGCAACATACTTCATTTTCTAAACGTCTTCTTTTAACGTTTGCATTAAGCTGTGAGGTTATGCTGAGTTTCATATATTAATTAAGTTAAGTTTTAGTGTCATCCAAATAGATGAAGATGGTTTCATTCAGCAAAATGAGCTGGAAAATTAAGAACAGGGTTTCACAGTCTGCAGAATTTCCAATTCATCACTCTTAATATGGAACTGCTGGATGTGTGTGTGTGTGTGTGTTCATTAAAGTAGAAAGAGGAAATTGCTCTTTTCTCCTCCAAATGTCACTGTGTCTGCCTTGTAAATGTGTGTTCACTGTTCATTAGATAACTATTTACAGACAATTAGAGGCAGAGAAAAGCCATTTTCTAGATGAAGATCATGAACTTAAAAATTAAATCCATCTGATGGGTTTTCTATGATTGCCAAGGTCACCAAGTCATAGAGAGTGCTGAGATTTACTGTTCTGCTAGCCATCTCTCTTATTAGAGTCCATTATGGTGGAATCATTTTATGGTGGAATGATTAGACTGGAGCATATTTAAACCACAGCAGTCTAATTATGTTGTTCAGATTTCTCTTTTTAATGAAAAAGAAAAAAAAGTTATCCACTTAGTGTGGTAATGTCACTTTAATTGTCATTATCTGTACATATATTGAATTATCAATATGAAGCAAAATCATTCAACATGTGTCAATATTAAACCAAAAATGCCAACTCGCTGATTCATGCTTTTTATTTAATTGAATTCTGCGGGCTGTAAGAACGCTGATTTTCATGACATACAGCAGTTTTCTTGTAATCCGGAGTGGTGACGTGCTGACAACGAAATGGATTCCCCAGACAGAATTCCACTCTCACTGAATCGGCTGTTTTCTGCCTGTGTCATTTAAAACAGTAAACTCTCCGAAATAATGTGAACTCCTGCTTTTTCAGTGGCTCACTGTGACTTTCTATCTCTCAATATGCAGGACAGCGTGTTCAGACTGGAGCCTCACATAGAAAACGGCAGAGGGAAGAGTCCTTATGACCCCAAGCTGCTCACTGCCTCCATGCTAATCGGTGAGTTCTGAGACCGGATACACAGTGCTGCTCTTGTGTGTTAGGGCATATTAAAAACATGGGAGTCCAGAAAACACCCCTCTGCCTGTAGCTCTTTCATTTCAGCAGATTCACACGGGGGGGAAAAACACTTGTAAATAACAGAACAGGACACTCCTGTCATTCATTACAAGTGGATCTGCTCTGTAGTTGGTATTTACACTCTTGAAACCCCTCATTGACAAGACTGTAAACTCTATTTCTATCCGAATTCACCTCTCTTAAGTGCTGGGTGTACATGCCAGATTACACTTTATTGAGTTCCTTTTGCACTGAATCAAACAGAGTAGGACTACGTGAGCCTTCCGTTCCTCTCTAGCCCTAATTATTGCCAGTCACATTGTGTTATATCACACCGTTTAACCTAGCAGATGGCCATTTTCCAGCCCATCACCCCTAATCTCCTCTCCCCTTTTTCTCTCCTCTCTTACCAGCATTATTATGTACTCCCCCTGTCTCACACCTCTGTCCTGTCCCTCCTCATCTGTCCCTCCATGCATTCATCTTTCTCTCGCACTCCCCTCTCAGCCCTGCCCACTGTGATAATGTCAATTTCACACTCCTGATGTTCATCACATCCGTCACTGCCTTGTTCTCTCAGGACTCCGAGTTTACCTTTACTGCTAAGCCCGTAAACAATACCTCAGACGTTAACACCTGCAAGGCGGATATCACCGCAGACTGTTCTCTTATCCAGTGTTATTAACATGCAACTAACGTTTTTTTTTTTTTTTTTTTTTTACCTCAGATGGGGAACTGTATGCTGGGACATCAGCTGACTTCATGGGACGGGACTTTGCCATCTTTCGCACTCTTGGCAAGCATCATCCAATCAGAACAGAGCAACACGACTCCCGTTGGCTAAATGGTGAGAGAGAAGAGGAAAATAGCTGGCTAACACTGACTAGATACATGATTACCATTACTTCTTGATTCTTGATTTTATGAAATACATCATGTTGTTTATGTCTTTAATATCAATAGAAGAAAATGCAACTGTTTTATTTGTGATGACGTCTGGCCATCCTTTAGGTTCAGTTCTTGCCTTTATTTTACTTTCTTTTTACTCCCAGGCCTTCATTTTAGTAGGTTTGGTATTGATATTCTCCTTGATGAAGACGACATTCAACTTTACTTGTCTTATATCTTTTTTTAGGGATATCTCTTCCTTTAACTTCAGGACATACAGCTATTGTGAAAATTGAAGCTTCTGACTTTTTTATGTGTACTTCATCAACTCTGACCTTTGAATAGCAATAATAGATGTACATTGTGCAAATACATTTTTTCAAAGTGTTGTTTCCATCTGCTACTTTTGGAACTCGTTACATGACTGAAACCTGCCATTATCCATATGCCTTTCCAAACTGAAAGCCGTATTGCAGTTATAATAGCAATATCCAGTCTGTCAGATTGAAAAACCACCTTTACAGGATGCTTCAGCCATAATAGAAAATGAAGAAATAAAGGATTTGATTCAGTTAAAATTAAATCTCAATATTTGTCTATGTGTCGCAGATCCCAGGTTTGTTGGCGTTCATCAGATCCCGGAGAGCGACAACCCAGAAGATGACAAAATCTACTTGTTCTTCAAAGAAAACGCTATTGATGGAGAGCATGTCGGGAAGGCCACGCACGCTCGCATTGGACAGCTCTGCAAAGTATGCATATAGAAATGAATACACACTGGCTCTCATACAAAAAAAAATCAGTCACCCACAAAATGATAGAAACAAAGACACACATACTTCACACGTATTCAATGAAATAGCTTCTGTATCTGGAAAAACACTTGACGGGTCTCTGAGTGGCTTTTATGGTGGTTGTTTTCAGGGGGCTTTTATCTGTGATTATTTTTAGCCTGGGGAAGGGTGGGCTTTGTTGTGTGTGGTATAATCACCCCTGAAGACAGAAACCTGAGATAAATGTTAAATGTCACCAGAACCTGAGAGGCAAAGCCACTGTCAATGGGAGCACTGTTATCCTAATGCCAGGCTTTGGCACTGATTGGGTCTGCCACACCCCCTTAGCCACAGGGGATGGTTATGTTAAATAGCTGGCCTCGGATCAGCTTTCACAATCCAAATCCTATTCCTATTCATTAGGCAGGAATCCAACCAGCTGACTGCAGATCAGTCAGTAATGTCCAGCCTCAACCTTACATTTAGCGGGCTGCTAGCTCGTGCCTTTGTCATAGCAGCCTGATTACCCAGAATGTCAGGAATCTGTCTTGCTCAATACAACACAAGCCATCCATTATGCAAGATGTGGTATTAATTTTGGCCTGTGCATATTTGGACACATTCTAATTCACTGTCATAAATTAACACCATTTCGGATTAGATTTGAGCCAGCACTCTGTTCCTCTGTGTGTGAGTGTGTGTGCTGTGTTCTACAAAACAAACACTTAATATTTGTGAGTTAAATAAACATATTGTACTTGAACATTTAGAGACATTCATAATTCAAAACAAAATAGGATTTTTAATGGGAGAACATGAATGTTTGAGTGACCAGATTTTTTACTTATTGAGATTAACCTATTCCCTGATTATAAACAATCTAAAGACGATACAAACATTAACCTGAGATCCTCTGTAAGTCATTTTATAAGGAAGATGTACATTTACATAACTGTAAATCTGGGCTTTTAACTTTCATCAATAAGTCTCTATTTACATGACAAGTTTACAGTTTAATCACAAGCTCTGTCCAATGAATTAAAGGGGATTGGCCAGACTCTGAAGTAAAATTTCATATCTTTCCCTACTTGTTGTCACAGTTTCCATAATCTGCTTTAAAAGGTCAGAAGAGAGATGACAGTGGAAATTATTATGCTCTGTTTTGAGCTAATGTCTTACTTCGAACATCAACAGGATAATGCAGAATTCAGCTGTAGACACTTGGCCAATACAAGTCTTCAATAAACATAATGAAAACAGGCTTTTTATTCATTTCACAAGACATTCATTTGCACATAAAAATCCCCAAACTGAATGAAATACTATAAATACCAACACATATAACTAAGGGAAAGTAAAACAGTCAACATTTCAGCCATTTCTAAATGAATAAACTTCCCTGCTGAACTTCTGCACGTTATCTGTCCAACAGAATGACTTGGGAGGTCACCGGAGTCTCGTCAATAAGTGGACCACCTTCCTTAAGGCTCGACTTATTTGCTCCGTGCCTGGCAGTAATGGAATAGACACACACTTTGATGAACTACGTGAGTTAACCCCTCATGCACAGTCAAATGTTTTCACACATTATTTCATTGAGTTGAAGTGAAGTGAAGTATTTTTTGGAAAGGAATATATCTGTTATATTTCAAGTCGTATTCTTTTGGCTTTCAGAGGATGTTTTTCTCATGAGCACAAAGGATCCAAAGAGCCCAATCATCTACGCAGTGTTTTCAACTTCCAGGTACTACGTCAAACACTGAAATAATTGCACACTGATAACAAGAATCTGAATTATCTTTATCTAACTCATTCTTTCTGCCCATCAGCAACATCTTCAAAGGTTCAGCTGTGTGTATGTACAGCATGACAGACATAAGGAGAGTGTTCCTGGGTCCTTATGCTCATAGAGATGGCCCCAACTACCAATGGGTGCCCTATCAGGGACGTGTGCCCTACCCACGTCCTGGCACGGTGAGTACAAGATGCCTTAACTGGGATGTGTGAGTGTGTTATGAACTGAGTGTTGTCAGTAAATCTCATTCATGTCCTGAACAATCATTTTGTTTTCTACAGTGCCCAAGTAAGACATTTGGAGGATTCGATACAACCAAGGACCTTCCTGATGAAGTGGTAACCTTTGCCAGAAGTCACCCAGCCATGTATAACCCAGTCTACCCCATTAACAATCGGCCAATCATAGTCAAAACAGATGTGGACTACCAGTTTACCCAGATAGTGGTGGATAAGGTAGAAGCAGAAGATGGCCTATATGACGTCATGTTCATTGGCACAGGTACAACCTTCATGAGTTTGCATGAATGCTTATTAGACAATTATAAGCACATTTTTAAGAGTTTATATTAACTGATTGTACGCTTCCATCATTTTCTAGACATAGGGACGATACTGAAAGTTGTTTCCATACCCCGAGGCTCCTGGCATGACCTGGAGGAAGTCCTATTGGAGGAAATGACTGTTTTCAGGGTAAGGTTATTCTCTTCACGCCTGTGTTTGTTATCACTATTAAAGCATGACTGCAGAAGCAGCAAGTGTCTAATCTGTAACTTTTATTGTCATTTTCAATACAGGAGCCAACAGCCATAACAGCAATGGAACTTTCAACCAAACAGGTATGGATTTGAGTTACTTCATGCACGTTAAATAAAACTGTGTAGTGGCACAAACCTCTCTTACCAACAAAGACACCTCGAACTTATATCATTATAACTATGGAAATAATATTAAATCCGAGATAAATGGAGATCAATCAAGGCTACAGTTAAGCTTCTGAGATTAAGAAGACACACCTTGCTGCTTGGTTGACAACATAAATGCTTGCACTGTCTAAGCACTTTGAGGTGACTCACTTTATCAAATAAACATGTCAATTGTTGGCTTTTCAGCGGCAGTTAGCTTGTAAACTTAAATGACAGAGAGAGATATAATGAGTCTGTCGGTTGACAGGTAGGAGGGTACTGACTACCTGTTGAAGGATGGTCTGTCCACATTCCTGAATGGTACTATTTACTCAATGACAAACACAAGCTGAACACAGGTGTATTTTGAAAGCATGCCGTCAATGCCTACTTAAAACCTACTAAATTGTGGCTTATTAGACATGAAATATCTTATATTAAATATTGAGTCTTTCTCTCTCTTCCCCCCAGCAACAACTGTACTTGGGCTCAGACATTGGCGTGTCCCAGATGCCTTTGCATCGATGTGAGGTGTATGGGAAGGCCTGTGCTGAATGCTGCCTGGCAAGGGACCCTTACTGTGCATGGGATGGCGCAGAGTGCTCCAGATACTTCCCCATGGCTAAGAGGTACCCAACACATACTATGCATTCATACAATGCACCAAGTTCAATCATTAGTGTATTTGTGTTTTGCAGATAAGAGACCTGTTTTAAATTAAAATTTACTTTTAGAACCAATGTTGAATTGCATATGAAATAATTACTTTTGGTTGACATGTTGACCATATTCGACATATGGCAAACTAGATTATACAGAAAGGTTTTACTCATTGAGGACAGATGGGAGTCAGACTGCGATTCAAGGGCTTGAGCTAGGCGCTCTTATGCTACTGGCTTTATATATTTGCCAAAAAACATCCCTAAAGGACTAGTATCATGTTTCTAGCAGAGAGCTCGAAATATAACCTGCCTCATGTGTTTACTGTAATGAGAAGCAGTGTCTGTGATGTCTGGAGGCTGTCTGGGTGAACCAGGGGTGAGAGGTTTGGTGGTAGTGTGGCTGTCGATGTGGACTGGATCTGTAAGTGTGCATGTGTAGTGTGCATCCTCCCACTCGGAGCTCCATGAGGTTTATTGATTTGAATGCTAGCTGCACAGGATTCCTGTTCTATCTGTTAGTTGGTCTCCAGAGTCTTACATTTAAAAATAAGACAGCCAAAGCAAACTCTTACCTCCAATTACCAACAACACATTGGCGCTGGCTCAGAACAAAGCAAGACAGAGGGGAGGGAAGTTACCAGTTTGCCCTTGGTGTCACCATAATATCATCTGTTATTGTTTACAGACAATACCCTTTGTGTTATGCTCGCAACTCTACTTGAAACTCCATCGGTTGCATGTGCGACCCAGCGAGACGACAGGCACAAATGATTGATTAAATTCCTCTGTCATACACACCCTATAATTAGGGTTTTAATGCGATGCAATTGGCCGCCTGCTGTTAGTTTAGTACTTTTGGCCCGCACATCCAAACCACAATCAAATGCACACCTACACACACAAACTTCCTGCAAACACATTTTCTATCACACACAAAGAAACTGTTGTGTCTGTGCTGACTCATGAAGGATTTTTTTTTTTTTTTTATATTTCTGTCTCTGCAGAAGAACAAGAAGGCAAGATATCAGGAACGGAGACCCACTCACACAATGCTCGGATCTGCAGCATCAGGGTATGTCAAATAAAAACATGTTTTTGTAATGGAGGCATCTGTTGTAAAAAAAAAAAGAGTTTATTTACGTTTCCATTCAGACACATTGAGCAACTAAATATGCTTGTTCATTATCTAAATTAGATCAATTTTCATCAAACACAAAAGAGCTTCTGTTTGGAGGATTTATTTCTTCATTGGGCATAGAAATTGGTCCCAAAGCAATCCAAATTGTAGAGAAGCCAGTTGAATGTGTGTGGCGCTGTGTCTTGTGTTTTTATGTGTTTCTGGTGGTGTGAAAATTAGAGTTGGTCCATGTGAAACTTATCATTAACATGGGCAGGATTCCTCAGAGCCTCCTTTCTGTCGCCAAGCCCTCCTCTCTACTGCCCTGTTAGTGGTCTCGGTCCAAAAACAGGACTTTCTAGTACACTTTCTTGCTCTCTCAAGTATACGCTTCTTTCAATTAACTGACGAGAACAAAGGACAAGTGGATATCACAAGCTTCTAAATTTAGGAGAGTAAACTCAGACACTGAAAAAAAATACCATTACTCTTTAGATTGTACATTTAATACTCTCATAGCCATTAAAAGCATTCTACTGAAAAGGATAGAAGTGTTGTTTTTCTTTCTTTTTTATTAGAAAATGAAGATGCTGATGGCAATTTTCTTTGGCCAACTTCACTGGAGTCTGGATTGTAAAATTTACAACAGGATTTAGTAGATCAAGCAGAAGAACCCTGACCTTAAAGTGCCAAAGCTCTCTGACTAAATAGCATTGCACCTACTTTACTATATAAAAACCCAGAGTTTGGTTAGAGCCCATTTCCTCCAACGGCTGCCCTTGTGGTGGAAGCTGCCGAATTCTGTCTATGATGGAGTGTGATAAGAGAAGAGACAGGATAATGTGACAAAATAATCCCAAAAGCAGTCATTGAAAAAAAAAAAACACTGAAGCCAGGCTATTAATTCAGGCAGCACTCAGAGAATGTTTTTTCCCTCCAACATTTCAGTCAGAGCAATGCTGAAAAGCAGGGAATTATACAGAAAACCACTTTTTTTGTTTTAAATTCCACCACAGCTGAGACTACAATATCTGCATTCAACAACCAGAAAAAAAAAAGCTTTGCTTCCACAATCTTCTATAACTGTTCTGTTTTTTTTTTTTCCTCTAGATGAACTGAGTGGGCAGTCGACTCTCCTGGATAAAACAGTATACGGTGTGGAAAACAGCAGCACTTTCCTTGAGTGCAGTCCCAAGTCGCAGAGAGCCCTGACTTATTGGCAGTATCAGCGCTCCACCGATGACCGCAAACTTGAGGTTGGCACAACCTGAGCAACACACTTAATCAGTTGTATTAAAATAGACTCAGACATAATCTAATGGGAGATTATACTTCATAATGTCAATTTATATTTTAAATAATACAGTTGCCATTTTTTGGGGATTTAAATTGGCATATTGGATTCAAGTGAAATACTATTTTATTATTTTATAACAGTGTTCTGAAATCTGTCTCTATCCTCCAAATTATTTTTCCGGTAGGTGAAATCAGAAGAACGTTTCATCCGCACAGACCAGGGCCTCCTGATTCGCGCTCTTAACAAAAAGGATTCTGGGATCTATCTGTGCCAGGCAGTGGAGCACGGATTCATGCAGACACTCCTGAAGGTCACCTTGGAGATCATCGACACAGAGCGCCTGGAGGATCTGCTCCATCGCGACAAAGACACCGCGGCCGCCACTGTTCCAGTTCCGGACCGTTCCTCACTTCAAGAATCGCCCAATCAGAAGCTTTGGTACAGAGACTTCCTGTCCCTGGTCAACCACCCGACTCTGAACAGCGTCGACGAGTTCTGCGAGCAGGTGTGGAAACGGGAGAGGAAGCACAGGAAGCAGAAAGCTCACCTGGTGCAGCAAGTGCAAATGCACCAGCAGCAGCAGCAGCAGCAGCAGAAGGTCGTGGTGAACCCTCACCCCCACATTCATGCTCAAGGGCTTTCTGCCAAGTGGAAACACCTACAAGACAGGCAGAAGGGACGCAACCGCAGGACCCATGAACTGGAGAGGGCTCCCCGCAGTGTCTAACCCACAAACCCAGACTTTTAACTCCCAAACCTGAACCCACATCCAGTATCTCATCCTGTATTCCCAATGAACTTTCCCACTTTTCTCCTTCAGATCGAGATATGGACTTCCTCAACAAGGGATAGCAAAGTCTTAACCGCTAAAACTATCCTGATCCAGCCGGTGGATGCTTTCATGCGTGGGCAGCCATGTTTACAGTACGCCGGCGCAGAGGACCGCAGGGTTGCAGGATGTTGTATCACGACCAGAACATTGGAGCATATTATCTCAGCTGGCCTCTGAGGCCTGAGCACATCAGAGGGACCGTGGAGACCAGCACAAGACCTGGACACATCTGCCCATCCTTTCAGATATGACTGACTCCATTTTGGCATCATAGTTTTCACGGCATTGTCTCATGGCATGCTACTAAGGTGACAATTCATTTTCTACTTCACATTTATGAAATAAGAGGTAGTGGGATTGTATTAAATACAGTGTGCAGTGAAAACGGACTTGTATCTGTATAACAAGCACAAAACAAGTGACACTCATGGAAAAGCACATGATGGGATATTTGTGGTCTTTTGTTTTGGTATTATAGGTGGTTAAATAAGACAACATTAGAGAGAGAAATGCCCAAACGCTGCAAGAATCTAGGGACATTTACCATGCGTCAATAAATATTATGATGTAGCTAAATATGTGTAAATATTGTATTCTCGGACTTCTCCTCATACTAAAGGGAATGGCTTGCAAATGTCTTGTTGTCTCTTTGTTGTTTCCCCCAGATGAAAATGTATTTAAGAAAAAGAAAAAGAAGCAGATGTAAACAGGGAGATATTGTACATAACGTTGTGTCCATGACCTAGATAAGCTTCCCAAACAAAGTCAGGTTTTTTATTCTTCTGTTTTGTTTATCTGTTTTTTATTTGACTCATCAGATTCCTTCCCAGTGTCAGCAGCCTGTCACTCTTTATCGATGTCTGCCAGCTGCCTTCTCTCAGTGCAACACAAAATGTCATACTGGGTTTCTTCCATGTTCGTTCTACTTTGTATACATGCATTATTTTGATAAAATATGTGTATTTATTTATATTCAAATGTGTAAAATTGTGAAAATATTCTCCCATGTGCAGGCGTTTTTTTTTTCTTCCAATTGGTCACTTGGATTGATTCATTTTCACTGACACCATCAGTCTCTTCAGATAACTGTTTTATCAAAATACTGTAGTAAGACTACTGTAGTACCTTTTTTTTTTTTTTTTTAACAATAATGGTCACCATGCATAATATAGTCGTTGAGACACTGAGCAATAACTCAGTGTCCATACTGTATATTTCTTCTACCTGTATTGCCTCATATCCATATTCTTCACAGGCAGCGCAGTGTGAAACCTTCATATCACTGCATGTAACAAAAAACACGTTTTTAATATACAATGTACACACACACACACACACACACACACACACACACACACACACACACACATACAAACCTGGAATGTAGCTGTGAACATTATGTAAATATAAATACTATGTTCTACGTTCGACAAGTATGACACTGTTTACTAGTGCATGTGAATGCTATCGTAGTGTTCCTGTTTTTTGCTATAGCGACGATATACTAGTCTGGTGTTTGTCGACGATACTCTGTTGTTTTTCTTATGCAGTATGTGATATTAAAAGTTGTACATAATATTTCAGCTAGGACTCTGAACTGTATAAATGATAATTCCTGAGGTATAGGTAGTCATTAAAAAAAATTATAAACAAGATCTAAGCAGGGTTTTGTCGTGGGTTTAAATATCCAACACCCTGTTATCAACAATGGACAATGTGAGTTAAAAACACATCATCAGTATGTTAGAAGATCTTGTCTAGTGTGTGTTTAAAAAAAACTTTAAAAGAAAGTTGAACTGAGTTGAACTCCAGACGAGTTGTAGGACTTTCAGTCGAGATGTGCATATGATGAGATCGTCATTATTAAAGAGGGAAAAAAAAAGGATGCCTCACTCCACCTATCTTGGACATTCAATAAAAGTGAGGAAATTACAGTGCTGCTGCTGCTGCTGCTTCTTGGCATGATGATGATGATGGTGGTGATGTATTCTACTGATCTAATAAATGTCTCTTCATAAAGTGCTGCTTTGATTTAATCTATTTTTAATGTGCGATGCCTAGCTGCTGTCATGGCACCTTCTGTAGAGTATACGATCAGATAAACAGATTGGATACATATATTAACATATTAATGAGAAACACTTTTTTTACATCCTTAGCATTTGGATGTACTTGATGCTGTACATCTCTGTTCTGTCCTGACATGTTTACATTAATAATGATGGGATTAGCTATAAGTATTTAACATGAGAGAAATACATGTGGAAAAATCAAAGTGGTTATGGGGAGAATACCAGTCTCTTCAAGCACCTGTTATTCATATTGAAAAGTGAAGCTGTGCACAATGGTGTGCCTCAGGCAGTAGGAGAATTACTGTGAGACCTTGATGTATAACGAGAAGTAAATAATACATGAGATCCCCGACAGTCTCTTTCGGAAACCCAGCAGTTCTATTTGCATACAGACAGGACATAATGGTAAAAGATACTGTATATAGCTTTGGGTTTCCAAGAAAAAAACTAGCATGCAAGTTCTCATGGGGTTGAAAAGACTTGATTTTAACATGCCTTGCATCAATATTTGAATTGTGTTTTACTACTGCCCTCTGCTGGTAACTTTGGTAAAGCACACCTTCAACATGGGGATAAGAGTTATTTCAACTAAGGGCTGAAGTAGCTTTGTAAAGGTGGGACAATCCTGACGCTTTAGAATAGAATAGAATAGATGTTTATTGCCTTTTGTACAGGTACAGGACAGTACAGGTACATTGGAATTTTTGTGCATTTCTCCCTGAGTCAGCTTCAACAAAAAAAGTTAAAATTATATATAAAATAGAATAGCATTATAAGCTATACACTGTATTAAAGAAAAGATATAATACAAAAAAATAACAAAGGGGGACACTGTACAATGAAATGAAAATATAAATGTGTTTTTTTGTCTCGTTCATTTCGTCAATGAAAATGAAAACAAGAGTTTGATACTTCATAAAATCTTTAAGGCACTTATTCCCCTGCCAAAGGTCAGTCAACACATGTCTCATCTGGGCTTTGGCCTTCACCTAGACAGTTCAGCTGCAGCAAGGGGAGATCATGAGTTCCACTTGTAAAAGCCCTTAAAGGGTATATTTTCATTTATGTAGTGGCAGTGCTCAGAAAAAGCAGACCTAAGAATTTGCTGATGAACCAATCAGAATGGAGTATTTAACAGAAAGGTGTAATAATAGGACACAACAAGGTATCCTAATTAGAGAAGTCTGGTATTCGGACTCATGGAGAGATGCAAAATAAACCAATAAGTGGTCAGTTAGGGTTATGATCTGTTCAGTGAAATGATCTGACATTGCTTCACTTTGGTACAAAAAAGAAGAAGCACAAAAGCATATAATTCCATGCTGTAAATGTAGGGAGATTTTATGGTAAAATAATACATCAAATATCAGAAGCAACATGAGGCCCTCTCCTTAGACACTGGAGAGTCTCTTCTCAATGGAAGACATTTCCAGTTTAAAATAAACACTTAAAACAATGTCATTGCTGGGATCCTGTCATCTCAGCAAAGTGATGAGACAGAGGTTTTTAGTAATGGTCTGCTCAAAGGCTCTCCAATATGGTAGCTTTTTGGCATAACAGTTAAACCTGAAATAAAAGTGCATGACTGCCCTCCAGTGGCAGAAATGACACACAATTAATTTCCAACATCACATCTATGCCTCATGGAAAAACCAAGCGGCCGCCTTTGACTTTCAGCCAAGGCCATTGGAAGAGCCTCCCTGACACAAAAGGCCAATACACTCAGAGGGAAAATCTGACACATGAGTGAAGCATGGGGAGAGGGAGAAAACAAATATTAGGGTGTAGTTATTATCAGTGTTGCTTCTGTTTTATTGCAAAGTCTTTGAATTTGAAAAGAGTTTCATTCTTTTTTTAAACACATCCTAAAACTTCACACTTTTAGTTATTGGAATGAATTTCAGTTCATTGAAAAGAAGTTTGATTTGTTTGCATTTATTGTAGAAAATTGAATCACTGGGGAGATTGTTTTTTAAAGAACCTTGACTGTGATTACTTAACTTTTCTGTTGCATCATTTGAAGGTGTTCCTGACCCTTAAGACTTTTAACAAGAAAGGTGTGGATCAGGAGTCATCTGGAAGGCAGCAGGGTGAACATGGGAGAACACATTAGACACTATCCCATGGACACTCATCATCTTTTACTGCAGCCGCATTCTTTACTGCAGCTATGGGAAAGAAGCCCGAGTGTATTCCCTCCCTATCAGGAGGCTTGGAAAAAAGTGAAATGGGGCAGATACGAGGCTATTTATTTGACTAGAGACAATACACTGGGTTGATGCTTCACTGGGCCCAGTAGGGTTCTGCTGGAGGTTTTGCACAGATCACCGGTGCATTCCAGCTGCTCTGTTCTGGGTCAACTCAAGAGACAACACGTCGGTCGATTTGACAAATTGACGGAAAAAGAAAAAAATCCCAAAGCCAAAGACTCAGTGCCAAGTTAAAAATCCTCAAATGAGTTGATGTTTGGATTGTAATGTAACTACAGACATGGACACTCCCAATAGTTGGGATTATTTTCTTAAAGCTCCTGGAAACCAAGATCCACAACAACCTTCTATATAATTAAAGGTTTATAATAATAGGCATCAAAAGTATTAGAAATGAGTTTGAATACCAAACCAAATGCTGTCATTAAAGTTTCTATAAACTTTCCTGATAATTGGTTTGAATTGGGCATGGTGGGGATTAGGTATTTATTACAAAGACTACACAATTAATCTGGGAAACAATCACATGAAGAAGTCCCAGAGTTAGCTCCCTCCCTGAGCTTCCTGGGTGGTCAGTGTTTTTTTTTTTTTTTTTTCTTATTTTTTGAATTTTTATTATAGTAACACCCAATAGACAAACAAAAACACAAGAGGTACACTTCAACTCTCCATAAAGCCAGGACAAAACAAAACACAGTAAAACAAACAAAAAAACAAACAAAAGAAACAAAAACGAACAAAAAATAAAAATAAAAAAGCAGAAAAGCAAGACCCTTCCCGCCACAAGGTGTTCAGTGTTGACCATGGGCATCTATTTTTTGGCTGATGAATTTATTGTACTCTTTGATGATCAGTATTTGGCATCATGTAATCAGTGTCATCAGAGGATGATTAGCTCCATAATTAAATAGCACCTGATAACACTGTTTCTAAGTATTGCAATGTTTATTTTCCCCTCTGGTTTTATTGGATTCTTATTGAGATTCTCCTCTTGCCTTGTCTTTAAACACTTGGAAATGCGGATTTTTTCATACAAAATTAACATTTGATATGAAAGCAGGGCTGCATCACCCACAAAGCTGTAGTTCAGCCAAATACTTACTCAGCCACGACGTGTCTGACATCTCCACTTAAGAATGAACCCCGGCAGCCTTCAGCCCACTGGAGAGGCGAGAAATAACAGTGATATGTCACAGCTCTGTTCTGTCACTTTCTAGCAGAGTATGGCATATCACATAGCTCTCAGAGTGAGGTAAGGATCTATTCTTTCCCTCCAGCTGTCAGTCCTCAAAGACTTTGGTTGTTAAAGTGTGTGCACGAGGCTGTCATTGTTTGGGGGGTGAAACCTTATTATTTATAAAACCTAATTTAACATGCCGGGGGATATTTATAGGATCATGGATGGATAATGTTTTGAAGTGAGATCAAGTTTGTGTGTGTCCATGTGTGCTTTTCCCCACCTATAACGATAGTAGTATTTTAGCATTGTTAGCACGATGTTAGCATGCAGGGGCACAGCCCTTTGCCTGGGGGTAAAACAGATGACAAAGTATTTAGCTGTGGCAGCTTGCCGGCTTTAGTGCTGGTGGTGTGTTGTACAGTTGGCAGGAACCTGGACTGCCTCTCTACAATGAGTGACATGATGGCTAAGACCTTTGGCTCAATTCCTAACTGGAACAAACTTGATCTAATTTTATTCTCACGGCTGTCATGTAGTCATAGCGTAGTGTATGAACTCTTGTAGAGCAAATATGCATTAGTATGGACTTCATTTATTGTGTCTATATGTCAACAACTAAACTGGTTTACTTTATTCAGACTAATACAAAAGACATACACACGCACACACAACCTTATCTAAACTACAGACAGAAATATACGTGAACAAAACTATTTCCTTGTACCACACAGTATATAGCTTGGCACTTGATAAGCATATAATTCATTTCCTTAAAGGCTTTATATGCGATTTTTCACACTTAAATATAATATAAATCAAGTATATCCTCTGAAAATAACTCTGTGAGTCATGACTGTCTACAATGGGTGTAACACATGAGTCCCACTGTCTGTGATGTTTTCAGAGTCCTATCTTCAGTTTGTTTACATCGCCAGGACGGCCGGCTGACTCCTCCCCTCGTGTATAAAAGTTGTTTAATTGAGGGACTACAGAAAATAAGAATAACATACTGTACTCACTGCTTAACTGTGTTTCTAGATCACGCTCATTTCAGGTAAATTTACATGCAGTGTGAAGATACCAGCATAATAAAGATCGCTAGCATGAGCATGCTAACACAACAATGCAGCGTGAGTTGTTTTGGTTTCATGCTGGTGCTCAAGGGCGACATCTGCTGGATCAAAACATCACATATAAAGCCTTTAAGATGTTGCAATGCCACTATAATGGACATATGAGGCTTGTTTTCATTATATTTGGGCCCTCAATGGAAATAAATGCTACTATATATGCATATAAAGCCTTTACGGACATCAAAATTACACAGTATTTATCCAGCTGTCATCTTAAATTAAAACTATTTTAGTTTTGACAGTTTACAAATCAAACGTACATATTTTAATAAAACCATCAGTCAGTTTTTTTTCTCCCTGCCAACAGTTAGACGGAGCACTTTTGAAACATCTTACAGATCGAGTAAAAAAAAGAAATGTGGAGTCTTTTTCTGTCCTTCACCTTTACGAGCCCTCAATTGACTCATGGAGAGCACTTATATAA